TTGCCACTGTTATTCAATATAACATTGGAGGTCCTAGCGAGTGCAATCAGGCAAGAGAAAGATATAAAAGGCATCTAAATAGGCATCGAAGAAGTCAAACTGTCACTATTTGTGCATGACATGATTCTCTATATAGAAAACCCTAAAGACTCCGCAAGAACACTACTAGAAACAATTAGCAAATATAGTAAAGTTTCTGGATACAAAATCAATGTTCAAAAATCCATAGCATTCCTATACTCTAAGAATGAAATGTCAGGAAAAAAAGTGGAAAAAATAATTTCTTTTGCAACTGCAACAAAAACAATAAAATACCTAAGAATAAACCTAATGAAACATGTGAAAGACCTATGTAATTAAAACTATAAAACCCTATTAAAAGAAATCAAATAAGATACAAAGAAATGGAAAGATATTCCATGTTCTTGGATTGGAAGAATCAACATAGTTAAAATGACCTTATTACCTAAAGTGTTATACACAGATTTAATGCAAACCCCATCAAAATCCCATCGGCATTTTTTAAAGAAATAGAACAAAAAATCATCAGATTTGTATGGAAGAACAGAATGTATGGAAGCACAAAAGACCCTGAATTGCCAAAGCCATCTTGAGAAAAAAGAATGAGTCTGGAGGCATCACTCTGCCAGACTTCAAATTATACTACGAAGCGACAGTAGTCAAAACGGCATGGGTCTACAGCCATACTACTCTGAATAAGCCTGATCCTGTCTGATCTCGGAAGCTAAGCAACAGTTGGGCCTGGTTAGTACTTGGATTGGAGACCATCTAGCAAGACCAGGTGCTTGCTGTAAGCATAAAAAATAAAAAAATAAAGGATTGTAAGTTGACAAGATCCTTGCAATCTATGAGGTCAAGCAAGGGTTGCCTCGCCTAAAAAACAAAACTAACAAACAGAAAACCAGCATGGTATTGGCATAAAAACAGACACATGAACCAGTGGAATAGAATCGAGAGTCCAGAAGCAAACCCACATTTATATGGGCAAATAATTTGCAACAAAAAAAGCCAAAAACATACAGTGGAGAAACGAAAACCTCTTCAATAAATGGTGCTGGGAAAACTGGAAAGCCACCTGTAAAAGAATAAAACTAGACTATTGTCTATCACCGCATACCAACGTTAACTCAAAATGGGTTAAGGACCTGAATATAACACCTGAAACAATAAAATATATAGAAGAAAACATAGGATCTAAACTCAAGGACGTTGGACTTAAAGAGGATTTTATGAATTTAACCTCAAAGGCAAGGGAAGTAAAAGCAAAATAAATGAATGGGATTACATCAAATTAAAAAGTTTCTGCTCAGCAAAAGAAACCATCAACAGGGTAAGGAGACAACCATCCAAATGGGAAAATATATTTTCAAGCAACGCCTCTGGTAAGGGCCTAATATCCAAAATATACAAAGAACTCCTGTGACTCAGTAACAACAAAAAAACAAGTGACCCAATCAAAAAAATGGGCAGAGGACCTGAATAGACGACACTTCTCCAAAGATGACATACAAATGGCCACAAATATTTGAAAATATGCTCAACATCGCTGGCTATTAGGGAAATGCAAATCAAAACCACAATGAGATACCATCTCACACCTGTTAGAATGGCTATAATCAACAGGACAAGTAATAACAAATGTTGGAGAGGATG